CTAGTTATTTAGTCTCAGACAGAACTGTTTATTATCAATTTTTTACTAATACATGCAAATTATTAATATTTCTTTTATTAGAAAGATGCCCATTTATATATTCTGATAGGAAAGACATTTGATTTTGAAATCTGCCTTTTTTGAGATAGAGTCTCACTCTGTTGCCCAGGGTAGAGTGCAGTGGTATAGTTACAGCTCACTATAGCCTCGACTCCCAGGCTCAGGTGTTCCTCCTACATCAGCCACCTGAGTAGCTGAGACCACAGGCATGTGTGCCACCATGCCCAGCTAATTTTTAAATTTTTTGTAGATATGCAGTCTCACTATGTTGCCTTGGATGGTCTCAAACTCCTGGACCCAAGCAGCCTTTCTGCTTCAGTCTCCCAAAGAGCTTGAGATTACAGGCGTAAGCTACTGCACCTGGCCAGAAATCTGCTTTTTCAGCACATGAATACAGGATCCTGCCCAGGAAAACATGCCTATAAGCTCCAGGATAATGTTTGAAAAGTCAGGTTAACTAGGACTGGGGTGGTGATGGCGATTATAACCACAGAAATCAGCGAAATATAGTAAGTTTCAGATTATTGAGAACTGGCTGGGAAAAAGTGCAGATAAAGAGTGTTTTAAGCCTTTGTTTTCTGAATGAATGTAAAAAGAATGTGTTTCAAGAGTAGTATCATGGAACAGGCCATTGAGGCCAACTAATGCAGGTTATTTTGGAAGCAGATGCTTTCTTTCTTATGTCTTAATATGTTTATTTACTGTAGTCAGTGCTAATTGTATTGTCTTTCTCCTCTCTGTTTTCTTTCCTTTCCTTTCTTTCTTTCTTTCTTTTTTTCTTTTTTTTTTTTTTAGATGGAGTCTTGTGCAGTCGCCCAGGCTGGAGTGCAGTGGCATGATTGTGGCTCATGGCAACCTCTACCTCCAAGGTTTAAGGAATTCTCATGCCTCAGTCTCCCAAGTAGCTGGGACTAACAGGTGCATGCCACCACACCCGGCTAATTTTTTGTATTTTTAGTAGAAATGGGGTTTTGCCATGTTGGTCAGGCTGGTCTCAAAACTCCTGGCCTCATGTCATCTGCCTGCCTCGGCTTCCCAAAGTGCTAGGATTACACACATGAACCACCGTACCTGGCCATGCCTGTCCTTGTTTTCTAATGGACTTTGGTATTGTCAACAAAAATTCTCAGGAAGGTAACCAGTTGGATCCCCATTGCCACTGCTTGGAAAGAGGATACCAAACTCTACCCCAGTTGTTTTCTTTCTTTCTTTTTTTTTTTGAGATGGAGTCTTGCTCTGTCACCAGGCTGGTGTGCAGTGGGGCAGTCTCGGCTTACTGCAACCTCCACCTCCCAGGTTCAAGCAATTCTCCTGCCTCAGCCTCCCGATTAGCTGGGACTACAGGGGCGCGCCACCATGCCCAGCTAATTTTTGTATTTTTAGTAGAGGCAGTTGGCCAGGATAGTCTTGAACTCCTGACCTTGTGATCCGCCCACCTAGGCTTCCCAAAGTGCTGGGATTACAAATGTAAGCCACTGTGCCCGGCCTCTTCCAAGAAGGCGTTTTTTTTCTTTGAAAAATGGGGAGTCCCCCCACCACCTTTTCAGGAAACATACTTCCTTTTTAGGCATCAGGAAAATGAAAATAGCCCTTTAATAAAATTAAAAGGTTGGGACTATTAGTTTCAGAAAGAAAAGTCTGACTTTCAGAGTATTCAGAAGATAAAATATTTTTCATATGTAGATAAAGTGAGCCTTTTTCTTTTTCTGAGTTGGAGTCTTGCTCTGTCCTCCAGGCTGGAGTACAGTGGTGTGATCTCAGCCCACTGCAACCTCTGTCTCCCAGGTTCAAGCAATTCTCCTGCCTCAGCCTCCCAAGTAGCTGGAATTATAGGTGCCTGCCACCACCCCAACTAATTTTTGTATTTTTAGTGGAGACGGGGTTTCACCATGTTGGCCATACTGGTCTCTTTGGCCAGGCTGGTCTCGAACCCCTGACCTTGTGATCTGCCTGCCTTGGCTTCCCAAAGTGCTGGGATTACAGGTGTGAGCCACTGTGCCTGGCCACCTTTTTCTTTTGCTTAGGAGAGTTTTCAGTCCTCATTGAGTGCATATATATGTAATTTCTTATTTTTTTCCTAAGAGATGAGATTTTACCTTGTTGCTCAGGCTGATCTTGAGCTCATTAATCTGCCTACCTCGGCCTCTCAACATGCTGGGATTACAGGCATGAGCCACTGTGCTGAGCCAGTGTAATTTCTTTAGAGTTACAAAATACAAAAAGTAAAAATATTTATAATTAAAATGCTTACTCTTGTTGCATTTAATTTCAGAAAGAAACTCTCTATTATTAAAGAACTAAATCCCAGCACTTTGGGAGGCCAAGGTAGGTAGATCACTTGAGCTAAGAGTTCGAGACCAGCCTGGCCAACATGGCGAAATCCCGTCTCTACTAAAAAAAACAAAATTTAGCCAGGCGTAGTGGTGTACACCTATAGTCCCAGTTACTTGGGAGGCTGAGGTGGAAGGACTGCTTGACCCTAGGAGGTGGAGGTTGCAATGAGCCATGATTGTGCTACTGAACTCCAGCCTAGGTGACAGAGTAGACTGTCTCCAAAGAAAAAACAAAACAAAACTGAAACTAGTGGATTTTTGATCTTTGATTCAATTTGATACCTGTGCCTAAGACAGTGAGAAAAATGTGGTATTTTGTGAGGACATGGGTTTGGGTTTTCATTTCCTTGTCTTTAAGAAATATATACAGAGGCCAGGCGTGGTGGCTAACACCTATAATCCCGGCACTCTGGGAGGCTGAGGCAGGTCGATCATAAGGTCAAGAGATTGAGACCATCCTGGCTAACACGATAAAACCCCATCTGTACGAAAAATACAAAAAATTAGCCAGGCATGGTGGCACGTGCCTGTAGTCCCAGCTACTTCAGAGGCTGAGGCAGGAGAATCACTTGAACCTGGGAGGCGGAGGTTGCAGTGAGCCGAGATCACACTACTGCGCTACTACACTTCAGCCTGGCGACAGTGAGACTCTGTAACTAAAATACACACACACACACACACACACACACACAGAGGTAGGTTTGTGTGTATTTGTGAATGTATGTGTTTATATGTTGCAGGTGCTCATGGCAGTGTGTAAACTTTCTACTGTTAGGATGGGCATGGTGGCTTACGCCTGTAATCCCAGCACTTTTGGAGGCTGAGGCAGGCGGATCGCTTGAGCTCAGGAGTTCAAGAGTATCCTGGGCAACATGGCAAAGCCCATCTCTACAAAGAAAAATGCAAAAAATTAGCTGGGCATGATAGCATGCACCTGTAGTTCAAGTTACTTGTGGGGATGCGGCAGTGGCTGAGGTGGGAGGATCGCTTGAGCCCAGGAGGTTGAGGCTGCAATGAGCTGAGATTATAGTACTGCACTCCTTCCTGGGTGACAAAGTGAGACCCTATCACAAACAACTTTCTACTGCTAAATTAGATAACAGACTAATTGTTATATATGTGTATTTAATTACAGGTGTCCCGTTTCCCAAAAACTTTATGTCTGTGGCAAAGACTATTCTAAAGCGCCTGTTCAGGGTTTATGCCCATATTTATCACCAGCACTTTGATTCTGTGATGCAGCTGCAAGAGGAGGCCCACCTCAACACCTCCTTTAAGCACTTTATTTTCTTTGTTCAGGTAAGTTGAACCATGTCGATTTCTGTGTCCAGTGACTTGGACTTGTTTGAAATGGGAACTTCAACAAACAGCAGTGTGTCTTATTTATACATGTAGAGCCAATTATAGGCAAGCTTCTCTTTTCTATTTTGTTCTCTTTTCCACAGTTTATTGATGTGTGCGGCAGTATAAAAAGGTATCTTTTGGCCGGGCGCGGTGGCTCAAGCCTGTAATCCCAGCACTTTGGGAGGCCGAGGCGGGTGGATCACGAGGTCAAGAGATCGAGACCGTCCTGGTCAACATGGTGAAACCCCGTCTCTACTAAAACTACAAAAAATTAGCTGGGCATGGTGGTGCGTGCCTGTAATCCCAGCTACTCAGGAGGCTGAGGCAGGAG